ATACTCATACACACATACACATGAACATGCATGAGCAATCACACACACACACACACACACACACACACACACACACACACACACCCTTGTGAAACCATCACTGAAAGCAAGGTGATTTCTGGCCCCTGAATATTTCCTCACAGCCCCAGAAAATCACTGATTGACTTTCTGTTATTTGGTTGGTTTGTATGTAAGGAGAAATATAAATATACAATATGTGCTTTTTGGGAGAGAAGACCATATTGGACCCCAAACTATACTTCTTAGGGCCTGGTTTCTTTCCCTTAGCATAATTTTAATATTAATGCATTCTGTTGTATGTTTCTATAGTTCATTCCCTTATACTGCTGAGTGGTATCCCAATGCATGGAACATACTGTTTATCCATTTCTTGTTGATAGGTATTTGGCTTGTTTATATACTTTGTTTATTATGAATAAGGCTGAACTGAGCATTCATATCAAAGTCTCTGTGTAGACATAGGCTTTCATTTCTCTTGGAGTGAAATGACCAGGTTCTGTGATAGTTGTTTAAAGTTCTAACAATCTGTTGGACTAGTTTCCAAAGTAGGTTGTACTATGACGTTCCTATAGCTAGCGTTTCAGAGTTCCAGTTTCTCTACATCTGTGCCAATATTTGTTATGCTCAGGATTGTTTTGAATTTTAGCTATACTAAAAGGTATGTGATAGTACCCAACTGCAGTTTTAGATTGCATTTTCTTGTTAAATAATGATGTTTCATATTCCTCTTTGCTATCATATGTCTTTGATGAAATATCTGTGAAATTTTTCTTTAAATTGGGTTAATTCATTTCTTATAATTGAGATTTAAGAGCTACTCTATATTCTGGATTAAAGTCTTTGTGTAATATGTATTATGTAAATATTTCCTCCCATTCTATGACTTACTTTGTATTCTTTAATAATGTATTTGAAGGATCAAAAAATCTTAATTTTGATGAAGGTAACAAGTTTTCCATTTATAAATCGCAATTTGGGTGTTTTATTTATGGATATTTGCTTGGCCCAAGGACAGAGATTTTCTCCTACATTTTCTAGGTCTACTATTTTGAGTTACTTTTTGTATATTTTGCCATGGACTAAGGTAAATCACTTTCATTTGAATACCCAATAGTTTAGCACCATTTGTTGAAAAGAAAAAGTACATTTTCAAGTTGCCTTTGCATATTCATTGAAAATCAATAAACCATA